GATCACATATAGAACCATTATACAAAGCAATAAGAAGCAAAATTGGGGGAAACGGAGCGGTAACTCATGAGACGACTGGCTGGGTCGTCACATGAACCAACCATCTCCACAAGTCATAAATCAGTAAAAGCAAGTGCAGGAAGTCTTATTTAGGGAAATGGGGTTCTAGCAAGCAAAACGACCAGTCGGGTCGTTACATAATGCACCTACAAAAGGTTAAAAAGGCGAACGACATTTCGAGAGGGATTTCGTGCTTTTAATATAGTATAGATTGATCCCTTCAAACATAACAATAAGTACTCAATTAGATAGCAAAACATGCTACTTTAACAAAAAGAAACCAAATAGTTTTAGGATTTTCTATTTAAAAAAGAAAGAAAAATCAAATATTCCAATTTAAGGATCGAAGTTAATTTAAGAAAAATTATTGTACATCATTTAAATAAGAAAATGATTTATTAAGTCAAATCTTACTTAATTTGTAATTCCTAGATTTTAGGAGGGAAAAGATTTAATAGTCAATATTTTTAATTATTTCAAAGCTTTAAATATTATAAAAATTATCAAATGACTATTTTGTCTAGTGTGAAATTTAATTTTAAAGGATAAAAAAGACTAAGGACATTTCACTAAGGGTCTTTGTGCTTTTAATATAGTACTAGTTTCTCGACATGTGTGTTGCACGTGTATGCCAGATCGTGTAGCACGCTATTTTGTAGTAATATTAATATTTTTCAAATAAAAATTTGAGTAAATAATTATAAAAGAAAAGCAAAGTATATATTTTTTTTGTAAATGATTAATATGGATCGTCGTGTATTAACATATTTATTGAGGTTAAGAAAATAGGATATTATCTAAATCTACGAAGATGGATAATCAAAGTTTAATTAGATACATACGATTATTGTTTTACTTAATTTGATGTGGTACAAGTGTGAAATGAAGCGTTGCTCATGTAATATTTATAAACAATATTTCTGGAGTATATTCCTTTCATCTATTTTGATAATTTTCTCATGACCAGGGTGGTTATTGTTTGAAAAGAACTACTTTATTAAATAAAAAGAAACTTTTTATCCTAGCGATATAACTGGAGCAATTACATGTAAACTAAGAAGCAAGACTCGTAAAGAAAAGATAACAAATGGAGGAACTTAAATTTACAACACACTTATGATGAAAATTAGATGAGGTGGTCGAACTCCTACAACAGGTAAAATGATCAATATAATAATAATACCAGCAATTTTAGATTCTACCTTTGGATTAAGTGTTGCCTATAAGTATGAATGAATGATACAGTCAACAACCGTTCTTATTGCCAATTTAACAGATAAATGAGCAAAAAAAAAAAACCATCTGTTTTATTTACCTTAAGGACTATGTTCGTACCAGTCGAATGTTAAAAAAAAAAGCACAAAAGTCCAGGATTTTCAACTAAATCTTTGTAGCTTAATAAGCAAATTTTTGAAGCTTGTCCAAACATGCTTCTTAATTAATGCATTAAAATAATTTTACTTAGTAAAAAATATCGAAGTATTACCAATAGTGCGATCGCATAATTCATGAAACATGTTAGAAGAATGCAAAGCAAATTAACATTTGATAAAATATGTCACGATAAGAAGGACAATTTTCAAAAGAAAGTTTGTTCTAAAAATACACTAAACTTTAAAAGTGCGTGTAAAAAGAACATACCAAACTCTGTAAATAGACGATTAACTTAAACCAAAAAATAACTTCATTATAGAATAAAACATCCACATATATAAGATGTTGACAAGGAGGCAAGTCTCTTTAAATTTATGCCAAACATCTCACTTGAAATGATCTATTGCTCATGTACTCACATTAGACACTAAAAATTCTACTTAATTATAATAAAAATTTAATATTCACTGTCTATTGATCAGTTCTTGTTTGGCTTTATTTTTGAATCGTATATGTACAATTTTATTTTTCCCTTAATCATGTGTGATAATCCAAAATGTCATCTTTAAATTAAATAATCATCTCGGTATTTTAAGACCTTGAAAAGCGGTATCAATAATTCCTCGACTTGCGTGAACAGTCCGTATAATTTTTCGAAAGTTGTAGCCCTTGCATTCTAATTTTGATAACGTTAAACCGTTCATCATTTGGACATTTGTACAGAAAGTTATGATCAATTGAATAAGGGCTGGTAAAGTTGTTTCTAGTAGACTTTTAGTGACGACTTTTAGTGACGAAAATGGCTTTTAGTGACAGATGGGCAGAAACATTTAATCACAAAAATCAGTCACTTTGCCATTTCGTTTTGGAATGTTTGGAGCTCGGTTCTTGGGCGATTTTCACGTGAAAACATTGGGGTAAGTGTTCCTTATCATATATTGATTATATTTCATGATTCCATACTCATTTACATCATGAATCCATGAATTTATGGAAGAAAAATTAGATTTTTAGCAAATCTTCCAGAAACGAAAATTTAAGATTTGAGAATCAATCCGATGTCGGATTTTTGTAAAATTTATATGGTTGTATTCCGTGACTTTTGTCGTATTCCGAGACGTGGGCCCCACAGGCGATTTTTGGGTTAATTTCGGATTTTGTTGGAAAATTATTATTTTCATATGGAATTAATTCCTATAATATGTATTGAATGAATCGAGTTAATTGTGACTAGATTCGAGACGTTTGGAGGCCGATTTGAGCGGCAAAGGCATTGCAGAGTAGGATTTTGCTCGGATTGAGGTAAGTAACGGTTATAAATCTGGTCCTGAGGGTATGAAACCCCGGACATTGTGTCGTATGACTATTTTGGAGGTGACGCACATGCTAGGTGACGGGCGCGTGGGTGTACACCGTTGGGGATTGTGACTTGGTCTGTCCCGTAGCAACTATAAAGTTGTGTATTTGAGTGAAACTATATGATACTTATGTGTTTTGGAAAGAGTTTCTATAAATTGGGCTGAATACCAAGTTTGGGCCTTGTGCCAGAACTGTTTAGACCCTTAGGGGCCTTTTACTTATTATCCCCTCACTATTATGATTGAAAATCTATATTCAGTCATGCTATACTTACTGATTTCATAATTCAGTCTTTATTACTCTATTTTTGAAACATATGAAATGTTGTTTTGGCCTGAGCATCTTGTTTTACTGATAGCCCGAGTGGCTTGAGAGGTTTATGACTGAGTGAGGCCGAGGGCCTGATCTGTAAGGATATTTATGGGATCGGGCTGTACGCCGCAGCATGTTGTTACTGATTTATGACTAGGTGAGGCCGAGGGCTTGATCTGTGAGGATATTTATGGGATCGGATTGCACGCCACAGCATGTTGTTACTAATTTATGATTGAGAGAGGCCAAGGGCCTGAGTCATTTATGCCACGAGGTGGCTTGTTATAACGCTAGGGCTGAAGCGGCCCCTCCGGAGTCTGTACACACCCCTAGTGAGCGCAAGTACCTACTGAGTGCGAGTGCCGAGTGCTGAGCGACTGGGAGGAATGAGTGAATGTGAGGAATGAGTGATTGTGAGGTTGGAGTGATGGGAGGACAGGGTAACTGTTATTCTGAGAAAATACATTTACTTTATTACTGTTACATCGTAGATGTCATATCACTGTTTTGAAAATTATTGAAAGATATTATTTACTGCTTAGTCAAATTTGATATCTGGTTTATTGAGTACGTACTGATGTGACTTAAACTGTTAAATTGAAAGTATGACTACTCTTATTTGAAAGTTATTGAGATAACTTTATTGTATAGCTCGTCACTACTTCTCAGTTCCTTATTTATTTCTGTTACTTACTGAGTTGGTGTACTCACGTTACCCCCTGTACCTCGTGTACAGATCTAGACACTTCTGTTCACGGCGGTTGTTGATTGAGGAGTCAGACTCAGGAGACTATTGAGGTAGATGCATGGCGTTCGCTGACCTTGACTCTCTTTTCCTTTCATGTTGTATTGTTCTATATTTCCAGACAGTGTTTTATCAGTCGGATGTTGTTATCATTTAGATGCTCATGCACTCAGTGATACCGGGTTTTGGGGATGGATTGTTTAGTATTTTTGGAGTTATATTCTGTTCTAAAAGGTTTTATTTAATATTAACTGCTTCCGCCTTTATTTAAAAGTTCTACTTTGTTGAAATGTTGAGTTGAGGCTTGCCTTGTACCACAATAGGCACCATCACGACAGGATTTTGGGTCGTAACACCATGCCATCTTCATTAAAGTTAGTACTTCATTTGTGTGCTATCTATCAACATCTACATGTTGATGGTAGCAAAAAAGTAAACATTCATCTGAAATAAATTCTGAAAATATCTACAAGAACAGAAAATAAAGCATCGATTGTTATTAGTACCTCGTTGGTATATAAACGCGTAGATTGCAAATAAACACAAAATAGACACCCAATAATCCTTCACATATAGCAAATTAAATATACGATTAAAATTTCCTAAACCAATGTCCTATATAGCAGCCTTCCCTAACTATTTTCGTGGTAGATATACCTTGCACCAAATAAGTGAATTCCATCTTCGATGCGACTTTTGATTGCTTTCATTTTGTCTGCTATGATTATTAGTTAGGAGAAATACAATCTAATTGTTATTGAAGATATTTATTGATGAAGTTACAAAAAGACTATTTACTTCTCTGATTATTGTTAATAGCAATCAATAATAATCCATCTATCTATCTATATATAAAAGTGGGAATGGAAAAGGTGACTTGGCACCTCTCATTGGACAAGGATTGTATTTATCTTTCTTCTCCCTATATATATAAGTGGGAATGGAGAAGATGACTTGACACCTCTCGTTGGCCAAGAATTGTATTTATCTTTTTTTGCCTTTTTCACTACTTTTTATTTGTCTAATAATAAGATATATTGTTGCAATTATAAGAACTCATTTATTACAAAACATTAATAATTTAATTATAGCTCCATAATAAATAAGGGAAGAGAGAAAACATCAGTTTCAAAACTGAAAGAATTCGGTTTTTTGACTTCACCTTCTTTATTTCTCAACTGTTACAACTTTCCTCCATAATAAAAAAAAGAATGAAACAATAGTCTTCCTTTCATCCTCCTCCTATTTAATCTTTTCTTGTGATGAATGAAAATTCTGGTGGCGAAGCTTCTATTAAGGTATAATTATCTACTTTCCTAATCAATGTTTTTTTTATTGTACGTTGAGATGAGAATATGTTCGTTTCTCATTTGATATAACCCATCGGTGCCTTTAAAATAGAAAGAAATTGTTGGAGGAGAGTAAGTGACTGTGGAAGCTCCGACGGAAAAACCCATGGATGGTTTGAAGCTTCATGTTTGGTTGGTGTTAGATTTTCAGGTTTTTCTATTTAAGTTTCAATCATTTTTTTTTTAATTTTTCTATCACGGGACATATATTTATTTTTCTCGACTTTTGTCATAGTCGTCGAAGGTAATTATGAGAGCAACATGGTCCAAGGAACAAGAGGACTCGGTCTTTTCACAAGAACTGTGTGGATGCAACTCGATATTCTTCAAGAGACGATAGGATACAGTTGGTACCATTTGATTTTTTTCTATAATATTTGTATCAAGAGACAAGAAGTTCTTGGTATGAAGTTTGAACAGTTGTAATAGGTAAATTATCCATTGTCTTAGTTCATAGAAGAATCACGACAATATATTTATTACTAAAAATATGAATTTTCTTTTACAAAAATTAAGAAATTATAAATTAGTCTTGTCACAATTTACAATTTAAAATTGTAGCATCAGAAGTTTGGAGTGCTTGGTTAGACATCTTTTATTTGCCACTAATTATATGAAGAAAATATCTTGAAATATTGTAAAAAAGAAAGGGGAACAAGAATCCTAAAATATTTGGTTAACGTCTTTACTGCACACTAATTATATAAAAAGGGAAAAAGGTTATCTTTACAATGATCTTGTAGGATAAAAGAAAGAATAAAAAGGAACCTTCCGTGTTTATGATAAATTGTAGATAGGAATGATTTTCTACTTCTCATTTTTCGAACTCAATGCTTCAAAGTTCGGGCTTAGAGCTCTTTTTTTTTTTTTTTTGCAGAGAATCAGGAGAAGAAAGTAGATATTGTAGGCATTAAAGAGGAGAATAGTTTAATATTATTTTGAGTAACCTAGGAAAAAGGGAGAAAATGGACGGAAAGAGAAGAAAAAAGAAAGGCCAATAGAGGAAGTACCGATAGTAAAGAAGGAGAAAAGGGAAATATTAAGAAAAATTGAGAGGGAAAAAATTACTTTTCGAAAATGAGAGCTTATTTAGGGGATAAAAAATTTAGGGGGATCACAGAGTAGAATATGAATAGAAAGAAAAAGAAGAAAAGAAAAATTTGGAATAGCAAAAGAAAGAAAATCAAATATTCATGTACTATGTATTTAATATATACGGCCATATTTATAGCGAAATGTTGTCATAGAGAATATATGAGAAATCAGGTCCAAAGAAAACTATGACACCTATGTAAAATGATGTTATAAAGGGTGGTTATAGAGAGAATCATGTGTTAAAATAACATATTCACTATATTCCTCCAAAAATTTATTTTCCTTTTTATGAGAAAATAAATAAAGAAAAATGCAGTTCATTCAACTTTGTTTGTATGAGGGTGCATATACAATCAATATATAGAATAAAAAATTTGCCTGCATATGCATGAAAAAATTATTTCTATATTCATTGATATCTTTCACCTATTCTAAAGTGAACAAAATTCCTCAAAAAATATCTCTCTTTTTTTTCATTTCATGAGAAAATACAATTCATGAAAAATGCAGTACATACGTTCATGAGCATATATATGTCAATATATGAAACTAAATTTTTGCCTGCATATACATGACGTATTAATTTCTTCTATTTTGACAAAATTTATATATTATAAATCAATTCCAAATTCATTTATGTCTTTTATAACCGCTTGAAGCGCGAACAAATTTACTAGTTAATGCAGAAGACTAAATACAGTTTGTGGCCTTATCCAACAATCTTTCTGGTAAGATTGCACAATATTTTGTGCCAAGATAGTACTCTCTCTACAACTATTCCTCTCCTGCAAACACCACACCAAAGGCAAAACTATTTTGTACCTTAAGCAAATCAAACTTTGTCGCATAAATGATTCTCTTTTTGTCAATTATTAAAAATCAAAGAGAATAATTTTCTATTCTAACATGACCACCGCTAGATCCGAGAGAAGATAGTGAACAACGAAAATTGTATACGAAGGTTTACGATCACCTGGTTAGGACAAATAGACAAAGCAAAGTGGAACAAATTCAGAATTAACATTCAACTAAAATAAAATTCTCAAACCTGTTTGTAAAAAGACATAAAAGAGAAGGAAAACCAAAAATATTGAATCAACTGATAACCAGTATATATGATGTACGCTCTAACACCCACACATAATACCAGGGGAAACTTTTAGTATCGATAACATGTATATGAAAATTAAACCACTAACATAAGAGTTATCAACAAAAACTTTTAGAGAAGAACTAATTCAATGGATTTACTGTGATAGTAGTTCTATATATTTATATTATCAATATAAATAATAAGTATGAAGAGAGACTAACGAATACATGAAAAAGGAGTAAACCTTGCATAACCAGAAAGAGAACAACATAGCCGTGAAAAATAATTACCTGGCTGTTGATGAAAAAGGTTTGGCCGAGAGAAACGTTAAGGGTGCAAAAGATGTTCATTAACCGTTGCTTTTTTTTTTAAAGAAGTGTTGGCTTTTAGGGGTTTTTTAATAAGTAAGATTTAATTAAGTTTTTGAGAAGTTTTTTTTTTTTTTGATAATTTAACTTTTAAATTAGGGGTTCTTGTTATAATTAGATTTTTTAAATGGGTAAAACAGTAATTTCACTTTTAAATTAAGGGCTTCCCACTTTTAATATAGTATAGATATAGTGTCACGACCCGGATTTCCCATCCTCAGAAGTCGTGATGGCGCCTACTTGTAGAAGCTAGGCAAGCCATGAACTTAGAAATCATTAACTCCTTTATTTTAAAACTTCTTTACCAATTATAATAACAAGGAAATAAACCGTTAAATAACAGAGGAATATAAAATTTAGCGGAAGTCTTAAATAAATAGAAAACAAAAATGTCTCAAAGACCATCACGTGCTTCTAACTAGAACCTGGTGTCACAACATCCACGGACTACTAAGAGTACTAAATACAACCGTTTGAAAGAAATATAGCACTGTTTGTCTCGAATACATGAGATAACAGAATATGAAATAAGATAGAGGAGACGCTGGGCCTGCGGACGCCTGCAAGGCTACCTCGGTGTCTCGATGGACTGAAGGCTGGCTCCCGCGCTACTGTTGCTGTCCAATACCTGGATCTATGCAAAAGAGCACAGAGTGTAGTATCAGCACAACCAACCCCATATGATGGTAAGTGTCTGGCCTAACCCCGGCGAGGTAGTGACGAGGCTAGGACTAGACTCCAGATAAACCTGTGCAATTATATAATATATGGTGAAAAAAGTAAACAGGTAATAAGCAATCAAAGCCGGGAAAGAGGAACATGCTTCGGGGGTAGCAGATAAAACAGAATATCAAAAAATATAAGGAAACTACAATTTAACTTCTAACACGGATAAAAGAAATAAGGCAACTTTCACTTTCAGTTTCATCTTGTTCCAGGCGTGCAACCCGATCCCATTTCTTATATCTTATGGTAGGCGTACCACCCGCTCCCATTTTATTATATCTCGTGGTAGGCATACCACCCGCTCCCATTTCATTATATCTCGTGGTAGGCG